AACTTTGTACCACTTTATGTCTAGATCAAGTACCACCTACTGCATGTGATACACGTGTTACTGCTGATACAGCCAAGTCAAGGGATGTGTTACATTTATTTAATTCATAACTTTATTGAAATATGACCAAAAAAATCATGATGAGTATGTTAAGCTTTTTTATGCAGCTGTTTTTTATCCTTTCAATATAAATTAACCTATCATTCCAAACAGCGGGTAGTCAAAACTGCGCCTATATTAAGTATTTTTAATTTTTGTCATTTACATTTACATTATTATTATTTTTATAACAGTAAAAAGTTCATGTGGAGTCTGAAACAAAAAAATAGCAACATATTTTTTAGCTCTTTGGCAACAGCAGGAAGGAAAAACTCCCTTTTAACAGGAAGAAACCAGGCTCAGGGAGGGGCGGGGCCATCTGCTTCGACCGGTTGGGAGAGAGAAGGAAGACAGGACAAAAGACAGGCTGTGGAAGAGAGACAGAGATTAATAACAAGTATGATTCAATGTAGAGAGATCTATTAACACACAGTGAGTGAGAAAGGTGACTGGAAAGGAAAAACTCAATGCATCATGGGAATCCCCGGCAGCCTACGTCTATTGCAGCATAACTAAGGGAGGATTCAGGGTCACCTGGTCCAGCACTAACTATATGCTTTAGCAAAAAGGAAAATTTGAAGCCTAATCTTGAAAGTAGAGATAGTGTCTGTCTCCTGAATCCAAACTGGAAGCTGGTTCCACAGAAGAGGGGCCTGAAAACTGAAGGCTCTGCCTCCCATTCTACTTTTAAATACTCTAGGAACAACAAGTAGGCCTGCAGAGCGAGAGCGAAGTGCTCTAATAGGGTGATATGGTACTACAAGGACATTAAGATAAGATGGGATATAATTATTTAAGACCTTGTATGTGAGGAGCAGGATTTTGAATTCAATTCTGGATTTAACAGGAAGCCAATGAAGGGAAGCCAAAACAGGAGAAATCTGCTCTCTCTTTCTAGTCCCTGTCTTTTCAGTGAGTTTTTTGGACATCCTGATAATAATGAATTACAGTAGTCCAGCCTGGAAGTAATAAATGCATGAACTAGTTTTTCAGCGTCACTAAGAGACAGGATATTTCTAACTTTAGAGATGTTGCGAAAATGGAAGAACGCAGTCTTACATATTTGTTTAATATGTGCATTGAAGGACATATCCTGGTCAAACATGACTCCAAGGTTCCTCACAGCATTACTGGAGGCCAAGGTAATGCCATCCAGAGTAAGAATCTGCTTAGATACCATATTTCTAAGATTTTCAGGGCCGAGTACAATAACCTCCGTTTTATCTGAATTAAGGAGCAGAAAGTTAGCGGTCATCCAGGTCTTTATGTCTTTAAGACATTCCTGCAGTTTAAGTAATTGGTGTGTGTTGTCTAGCTTCATTGATAAATAAAGTTGGGTGTTATTTACATAGCAGTGAAAATGTATGCTATGTCTTCTGATGATACTGCCTAAGCTCAGAGTCGGGCAGCTCAGCGTTGCTGAAAAACTGTACTTCAGTGCGGTTATCTAAAAATGGGGTACATCCCAGATCCGGTCCTGTCTAGACCCATGACATATTCATGTCATATATACCCTATTCTTTGTTTCTTCCTTTCTGGAACTCTTCCCACATATGTGGCTTTTGTTTTTTTGTTTGTTTGGGGGGTTTTTTTGTTTTGTTTTTTTTGTTTTTTTGTTTTTTGGGGGGGGTGGGGTTGTTTTTTTGTTTTTGTTTTTTTCTGTCTGTTTGTTTGTTTCTTTATGCTGCACAGAACCCTGTGGAACCCCATAATTAATCTTCTGTGTGAAGAGGACTCTCCATTTACATCAACCACTGTAGAGCAGTACTTGTAATACCTACAGCATGCTCTGATCGCTGTAATAGGATATTGTGCTCAACAGTATCGAACGCTGCACTGAGGTCTAGTGGTAGTACAAGCATAGACATGTGTTTACTGTCAGAGGCTATTGTTATCATTAATTATGCTAAAATTAGTTAATTGAAAATCACAAATTTGATTTAAAAAATCTACATTAATTTTGATAATTCATGTATGTTACTTTTTTCAATAATCTTTATAAGAATTCATTTTAAAACTTAAGGTATGTTTGAGTGCAGTATGTATTTTACCACAAAATACTGATGAACGAGTGACTCGATGATACCTTAATCAATGCTGGGCTACGATGAAGTCATCATGATCAGGATTTTTTCAACTGTTTTTCTATTTTTTGTTACCTGCACACTTCTGTTTAAAACAATGTTAGCCATGGTTCACTGTGACACATCACAATGTAGTATAATGATTAGAAGTGGAAATTTGCAATCAAAGCAAAGCTTATAATATTAAACACAAACAGACACACATATTTCCAGGGGTAGAACCTTCTATTATTCTTACCATACTAATAAGCCAATTTCTTTTTAAAGTCTGAAAGGTTGTATAAGTGGATTGAAAAATGTATGATGGAAAATATTTTTACAATTAAAATGACACAGCAGCACGTATAAATATACTGCTGGAGTCATGAATGACCCTATTCAATGGCTTAAAGGCTAGAAAGGTTCCATTTTTTACAAGGAACTTCTCTACAATTTCAAAGGACAAAAATATGTAATTTGGTACTAACTAAAGAGAAAATATAAAGAGAAAATATGCATTTTCTTTGCCATTTAAATATTATTATTTGCTTATTACTAACAGTTTGATCCTTCATGTACATTATGTGTTTTGTTTTCAGAACATGCTAAATACTGACATATTGCTGGCAGCTTCCAGTTTATTCAAGTAATTAACGGGAATCCATATCATGTATAGTTAATCAGTCTTTTAATTTACTTGCTGAAAAATAAGTCAAAACTAAAGTTACCTAAAATAAGATATATACTATAACGGTAAATCAATAATAAATTACTTTTTAACCAATTTCATAAACCATCTTAAAAGAAGGTTTGTTCAGTATATGTTTAGTCGGGATTATTGTACCTGTTGTAGTTATTCAGTCATTCTGGTGCTCCTCTTACTCAATTCTGATGACTCAGAATTAGATCCTGATGACTTAAGAATTACTCATCAAATAGTATGACTCAGTGGCTCTAGAGATCAGCTTCACATCCTCTCAGCATTAAGTTTAATGCACATGTTAATGATCTGGCTTTTGTTCTTAAACAGGGAATTTATAAAAGATTAAGAAATAACTACTTTTGTACAGATGCATGCAAATCAAGAGTAAAGCAAAAAGAGAAGAAAATCATGTGGTTTACGTCTATGTAGACAGATTAAACTTTGCCTGTGGACATGTGAATGTCCACAGGCATGTGAATACAGGCATTTGAATTTTAATAGGCATGTGAAGACATGTGAATACAAAGCAGATTTGATCAATATGACAAGGTTGGACGGTGGTGAATCTACAATACATTTAATTCTCAATTTATTTTTTCTTGATCATTTTATTAAAAAAATTAAACAAAAGTCCTTCATATTTTTACACCGTTTTCAAATTTTTAAAGCAATAATATAATTATATTGAATAAGTAGTATCCCATGCTCCAGAAGGACTTCCCACCAGGGCACTTTGAGGGATGTAGTCAAATACCTTCTCCGTGTAGGGCATTATAACGTATTGGTTATGTTGTCAGCAGTGGCTGTTTCTTTGGACGTTGAACTCCCACAGGATCTGAGCTATTGTGTTTTGGGGTTTTTTTTGTGCATCCTTGCTGAGTGTTCCATTTGATTTTGGAACTTTTAACCCATGCTTGTAATAGATGTTCCTGTAGACTATCACATAGATTTAACTTAACAGAACATTTAATACAGCTGCCATAAGGCAAGAGGCAGGGTGCACCGATGCAGGGATAACACAGAGAGACAGACATCCATCAGCACTCATTAATTTCTACGGACAATTTAGAATCCACAGTTAACCTAACCCCTCTGACTGCATGTCTCGAGATTGTGGGAGGAAGGCAGAGTACCCAATGAGAACCTACACGGACACGGGGAGAACATGCAAACTCCACAGAAAAAGGCCCTGGCCAGATGTTGGATTGAAAACCAAGAATTTCTTTGCTGTGAAGAAACAGTGCTATCCACGGTCCCACCTTGCTGCCCCTTTTCTATCTAAGATTTATACACAGTCACACTCCGATGAACACATAGTGAGCTACTCAGGGTTCAATATCTTGCCTAGTATCTGGAATAGTAGCAGACTGGAGCAGCCAGAGATCAAACCAACAACCTTCCAATTAGTAGATGACCTGTTCTACCACCCTGTAAATATGATGGTTGATTTGAACCCAGGACCTTCTTATTGTGAGCCAGAAGAGCTAACCACTGCACCATGGTGTTATCCCATTTGTGATTCAAAGCACAGTAAAAAAGCTTTAAAACTCAGAAATTATTTGAGAATTTTCCTTTCCATTTCAAGTTATGAAATGTATCTACACAAAGGTCTGTTCACATGAAGTCAAAAGAACCACACATGTATAATTCTATGGTGTCGTGATTTCTGGCCTCCTCTGTCCTTGTGTATTTTCTGGAAGTGAAGGACGAATTAGGCCACAGTCACCAACTGACCTTTGCAGCCTGAAGACTGAGAGATGTCTGGACATAACACTACACATTTTCAGGGTGGGGTTTCACGAGACCAGTCAAGCTAAAGGCAAAAGGAAAGAAAGACAAAGGGTTAAGGAAGTTCGGTTTAGCTTCGAAATAAAGCTCTGTAAACAAGTGAATGGGACATGATGCGTGAGCATTCATCAAGACATTTACACATTGGGACGTTTTAAACATTTCATTATTTAAGATTTTGAATATTTTTGTTGTATGCTCACATAGTGTATAGTTCTACAAAATTATACATTTAATTCAGCTACCAGAAACCTTTAGTAAAAACTAAAGGTACATAACTTACAACTAAAGGTGTATATTTAATACTGAACAGTGTTTTATAGTGAAAGTCCTGACAGGAAATGACGTTAGTATCTCGGGCTCTCGCGCGCGCTCTCTCTCTAACTCTTTCCCGGCAGATCAGGAGACTTCGGCTCCGCTCGGAGAAACAGCACAGGACTTTATGGTGGAAAACCGTTTCATAGTTTTACCTTTTTCTAGGGACCGGCTGTATGATTAAGCTACAATCTTCAATGAGTAAGCATATCCCAGTAAGTAACCTGTTTTTCGTGGCTGCCATTTTGTTTCTCGGTTTCGTCTCCTAGGCTCCTCTGGTAAATCAGTACGTTACGGTGAACTGTTACCAGCTGGCCTTCACGTTGCTTCGATGAAATCACGGCCTACTCGATAAAAACCCAGTTCAATATTTCCACAGTGCTATTGCCTAACGTTGCCTTTCTCATTTAACTGTAACGAACATTCACAGAACATGGATTTGGCCATGTTATTTGAGTGCAATCTTAGAGCTTTATGATGATCGTCACGATTAGGAAGCTGCTGACGGATGCGCAGCTCGGGCTGGTCCCGGCTCTTCACTCGGAGTTTTTGCCGTCTAAAATCGACGCATATTTATTTGAAATAAACGAAACACGTAAATGACGTATTGTTAGGGGTTTGCGAGACTGGCTACGTGCACGGTGTCTGGGTCGGGCGTCTTTTTGTCACCTCAGAGCACTGTGCAGTCTGTCACAGCTCCCGACGGCGCCTATAGGCCTCTAATGTTATATGATGGCGCCCGGTCTATCCTCACACAAAGGACACTTTACAGCCTTGTAATGCAATGCAGAGACATGTCTGCTATTTAAGCCACTTCTGCTTTGCTTCACGTCTCTCTTATATTTACAAATCACTGTCCTTTCAGTCAGGCAGTGGCTTTTAAGTGCTTGGTAATATTTCTAAGTAAATGCTGCTTTTCGGCCGGAAAATAGCAGATTAACAAAGCATGCTTGACCGGCTTAGATTTTACTATTTCGACAATAAGATGAAGAAAACCTTTCCAGTAAGCCAGCGCTCAGGTATCGAGCTTCTGTGAGGAGTAAAGGGCAGAAGCATTAGGGAGGAAATGGCAGAGAAAGCATTTGTGAGTCACATTTTTCTGACGATCATAACAGCGTGTATGTTAAAGCCCCGCTGAAGGCCCCACGGTGAGCTCAGCCTGCGCACACAGATACGACCTGGATGTCAGAAATGACACGTTATATATTTATTTCTGCTGTACAGCGGCAGCACTGCACTGTGATTTTATGTACTGGCAGGTACAGTCTGCCCTGCTGTGTTAATCATTGCGTTATCTGAAACACCACTTTCTCTGCATGGGAATCAAACCCCAGACACTCTAGTGTCTTTAGTCTCCAAACAATGTTAATGTGGCTGTTGACATACTTGAGTGTGAAACTTGGCATAATTAAAAAAAAAAGAAAAAAAAAGAGTAGCTCAGAAAGGCTGCGGTTTAACTGCCTGTTTCAGGGTAGCTAATATAAAGAAAATTATACTGTGGGATTCGATTACGGTCATTACACCCTAAATCTGTGTTTCTAGCCAGACTCTGCGCTGTTGTCTGAAGGTAATTCTAAAATTCAAATGAGGAAATTTGTTTTATTCTTTTAAAAATGAATGGCTCATGACTTTACTGAAAATCCCTCACTTGTTTCACGGCTGCTTTGTCTATACTTTGGCCCTGTGCTTCCTCTATGATCTAATCCCTTTGTCTTTTACTCTGATGGAGTGGTATGTTTGACTAGGGGCTTATGGATATGTGTTTGGGATTAGAGTTGTCACAATATCAGATTTTCCATTTCATGATTATTGTGCTTAGGAAAAAAGAAAAGAGGCACAGTTTCCATATAGAATGTGAATAAAAACAGTTTCTCAGTAAAAGTTTGTCTTTTTGGCAAATGAATTGAACTACACTGAGAACAGTTGCCTGTGCTTTTTGTGTTCTTTAAAGGTGTTTAAAAAAAATAAAAATTAAGCTTTTCTTCCCTCCTGCCCCCCTCTGTGTCTTGCAGCAGTTCTGTGGTGTTCTGGGTCACACATTTATGGAGTTTCTGAAGGGCAGTGGGGACTACTGCCAGGCTCAGCACGCTGCCTATGCAGATGAGTGAACAGCCAAACTCGCCATCGATCCGACGCACTTGAGCCACAGGAGGGACCCCGGAAAGTTGGCAGGACCGGGACTCCTCCCAGAACCAGCGATAACTCGGCCTGGATGGGGTAACTCCACCTGCTGCACACTGCCCTCGTCGGCTTCCGCCTGGCCAGAATCAAGGTGGAACCAACCTTGGTTTTTTTTTTTCTTCCTTTTCTTTTGTTTTGTCCAAAGGAGAGGGTTTGAGTTACTTCTCCAATTGTCCGCCCTTCCCGGCTGCCAACTTCCCAAATTTGCCTGTTACTGTTCTTTTTGGCGGGATTATTTTTATTTTATTTTGACACTTAGCCTTGCCAACCTCGAAGAAGACTGGAGGATTTTTTTCTTTCGGAGTTCCTCAAAACTTGTTGGACATTTGTTTGACATTCCCTCCGAGTTTAACTGTTTACATTAGTGTTTACTCTGTGTAAGACATTTTAGTTTTGTTATACATTGTTTTTCCGCATTGTCACGATGGCTCGAATGAACAGACCAGCCCCTGTGGAGATTACCTACAAAAACATGCGGTTCCTCATTACCCACAATCCCACCAACGCCACCCTGAACAAGTTCATAGAGGTGAGCCAAATTGTGGTCAAGTGTTTACATATTACAGAGTGTATATTACCCTAAGCCCACATTGGAGAAGCATGTAACCGGTGATTACATGTTGAGAAATATTTTGGAAACGACCGCAGTTTAAAACCTTTCCTGGAAATGTTTCAGCCAATGAACGCAATGACTACAGAATCGTTTTAGATTACAGGAATTGACGTATGTAGGTGTATTACTGTCAGTGTGCTTTAGAGGGTTGGGCAATCGGACAAAATTGGTGACTAAAATCAATTGATTCCTTTAACAGTTGGCTTTTTTTCACAGACTTCAAGAAATTGCACATTACAAAGAGCTACCAGACAGTACCTCTTTCCTTTAAAAGGGAAATACACACAAGAACAGATTAGCCGCTTATGTCAACCAAAGGCAGTGGGATGTCACTAAAATAGTCATGGGCGAAGCTATCTAGCTTAACTTATCAACTCTTTAGTCAAGCGAATGATCTAAAAACTGATGATATGAAGAATATCACTAACTGACATGAGCTAGTGTTTGCATACATCAGCAAATTCATTTTCACTTCTTTTTGTTGTAATTTTAACGTGTCGTCCAACCTTAGTATCCTGAGGTAGCTTTAACAGTCTTGTTTGCCTCTTTCGTTCATAAATCCTGTGACATGTGATTACAGGAGTTGAAAAAATATGGAGTCACCACGGTTGTGAGAGTTTGTGAGGCCACCTATGATGCCACCCTGGTGGTGAAAGAGGGAATCCAGGTTCTGGTGAGTTCACACTTCTGACTTCATCATGACTCCTAATGTTTCAAACCAAAACAAATGTAGTTTTTTTTTTTTTTTCATTGCTCTGGGTTTTTCCCCCCAGTATACCAGGCTATTGTTTTGTTTTTTTTATTCTGGTTTTTATTGTGTAACAGATCTAGGGGGGGGGGGGTTCCCTCCAAGCGAAGGTTCAGATTGTGCAGGAAGACAAGCTCCACGGGTGTCCTTGCTGCTGCAACAACATTTTTCTTTCCCCGCAGCTCAGCCTTCTCACTTCTTTTGTTTTGGTTTCCAAGGAACGGAGGCCACTGACATCATTTCCTTTTTTCTTCTCTCTTCTTTCTGCAGGATTGGCCATTCGACGATGGAGCTCCTCCCTCCAATCAGATCGTGGATGATTGGCTGAACCTGCTGAAGCTGAAGTTCAGGGAGGAGCCCGGCTGCTGCATTGCTGTGCACTGTGTAGCAGGGCTGGGGAGGTAAGCAGTCACTGACACAAAGATTCAAGTTGTTATATTTTACGTATGATAGTGAAATGTGGCTCTTGCTTCTGTTTGTATTCTGATACAGAAGCAGTCGGTGCTAAAACAGTTATTTGATGATCCCTGTTTTCATATTGTTTTTATATTGTACATAAGCTTTTATTTTAGGGGATTTTCTCTAACAAAACTGTTTGAATCCATTAAATAACGTTTCCCCCATTATCTGACTTTTAAATGATTAATCCACCAATCCAAAGGATAACTGCAGAACTACAACCTGAGCTATCATAGTGAAAACTATCATATAGGAATAACATCCTTGTTATCAGTTGTGGTTTGAAAAACAAACCAAGAAGATCTTAAGCAAAGACGCAGTCATTTGCATTTTCTTTGATCCTGCTGTACGTGACTCACAGTATCACCCACATTTTGTCCCAAGTGTGTGCTTCCTTAGTACAGACAACCTGCCAGGTCCTGTCTCTGTCCTGTTTGCTTTAATCTGATCTATGAGGAAGCAATGTTTGTTTGTTTTGTTTTTGTAATTGGAGCAAAACACTATTTTGCATGTTAGTTTTAACTAACATTCCTGGTACTGTCTGTTCCCTTTCTTTTTCACAGAGCTCCTGTTCTGGTGGCACTCGCTTTGATTGAATGTGGGATGAAGTATGAAGATGCTGTCCAGTTCATTCGACAGTAAGTAAAAATCATTTGGCAGGAAATGATTAAAGAAGCTACTTTTGTTTTTTTGGATGAGTTGAGGTTTTTTATTATAAAACCATTAAAATATCTGATAGTTAATTACATTTGTAAGGCTCTCTGGTGGACAGACTTTGGCATTAACTTTGAGAAAATCCTTGATTTTTGTCTTGCAGTAACCTGATACTTTGATACGTAAAGCAGGGAGGCCTGAGTCATATCTATAAATAGCAGAGATGTCAGAGAGTGAGATAAGGATGATTCAGTAGGTGTACTTTAAAGTATGTGTCATCACTTGAAATATTTATAGAGCACTTGGCAGTCAGCTTTTTTTTTTTTTTCAAAGACTAATCAATAAAATGAGGGAAAGCTCAGCAATTTGAGGCTGTAATAGAAAGTGGTTAAATATTATTAATATGGATAAAATCCATTTTTTTCTTTTTAAATTAACAGTTAATAATAGGACTTGAATTTTTTTAAGTTTATTTTAAAATCCTCAACAAGCCAAAGAATCGTTATCATGCTGAATGTAAAAATCATACATATTGCCATGAATCTTCATATAGAACAGAGTTAGTTGACTATTTCTGTAAATGTAATAGTACAGGGCAACCACTTTGCTCTTTTCCAACCCAGCATTTATATTCTTGCACTCTATCACAGTACCTTGTTATTCAGAGTACTGGTCCTTAATACAGCATTTTAATTCCTTTCCGTTTCCCTTTAACCAATCATCTGATTGGTTGCCCCTCACACCCAGAAGGTTAGAACAGTTAGTGGGTGGAGCTTCTTTTCTTACAGTCACAGATCTGTGGCTGAGCTTTCCTCTCTAACATCAGACAAAGCCATCATAGAAAAGCCTGTAAGTAGGGTTCACAAAAGCTGAGCGTTTGACTCACAGGGGTTAGACTGCTTATATGCACACTGACATGAATTATTTAAACTTTGGGCATGTTTAATATATTACAATATCCATGGTAGCAATATATATTATGGATTTACAAAAAAATCTGCAGTCATGAGCTAATTAATTTCTACACTTGCTTTCAGGAAGCGCAGAGGAGCATTCAACAGCAAGCAGCTGATCTACCTGGAGAAATATCGTCCAAAGATGCGCCTGCGTTTCAAAGATTCTAACGGCCATCGCAATAACTGCTGCATCCAATAGAGCCAAACATTGAGCCACACCAACCCCTCCCCAACCTACCCTCCAACACAGAAGAGTTTCATTAAACCTTGCTAGCTTATAACCTGGCAGGCTTCCTTTTTTTTTTTTTT